CCTCATAACCATTCTTTGTTACTATTCTTGAATATTACCTTTGTACCCTAAAAACAAAGTTTATTTAATTGAGCTATTCCGTACCTTCTAAAATCTCTTTCAATTTCCTAAAAAAAATCTTTACACGTCACTTTGAACTTATGTTTATAAAAACTAAGCAACAAGTGATCATTATATGACCGGACACGTTAATCTAAATAGGATTCTCATCGACTTTATTTTTATGTAATATATAAATAACCTTTTGAGATATACATATTTATTAAAACAAAGACAATTAATAATTATTATTTTGCTATTTCGGGACCGACATAACTTCATTATATGTGCGTGTGTGTGTGTATACTGAGTAATAATTTTAAATGTACTTGTGTATTTAATCGATAAAATTTTGAATGTTATTGCGCAAGTCTTGGTGCCTTGGCAACCTAGCTGAGCCTAGATTTGCTAGGATCAGGGCTTGCACTTGCGCTGTGCACTATCCCAGACTTGCATACAGCGCAGGTCCGATTATATATTGATTTTGATGCAAGTGTAATTCGTGGCGTGGCATAAGTGGCATTATTTATCGGTACCTATTCAAATGCCATGTAAGCAGAAATGCTTAGGTAACATCAGCATTTTAATGTATATATGTTTAGTTCATTTAATCGATACTTATATTAAGAAGCTTTTTATTTTATTTATGTTTCTAACGAAAAAATTTCAAAACTAGTGTATCGATTCCAAAACAATATTTTGCAATGATTATAAAGTGAATTTGATACTTTTATATATACGTAAAAACCCTTTTCTTTTAAAGTTGTCCATACACCAAAATGTATTTAAAATTCTATATTATGCTAAGTAATTGTTATCAGCTCATTAGTAAAACATTCGCGAACGTAGTTACGGTAGAATCGATACCTCATGTCTATTTTTACACTAATCATTACTCAGAACAAACATTTAAAGTCAAGGAATTAATTTTAGAACTTGTCGTACAATCCATACCAAACTAATATTATTTTGAGGAAAGTTTCAGGCTTGTAACGAATAACTCTAAGAGCCCCCGCAAACTTTTTATCGGGCTTAAAGCTTGCACACCTGTTGGCCGACCGCTCAAAAATAATGTTTTAGTTATTTTTTTGAAGTGAATAGGTTCTTAGTAATGAAGATTACGACATTAAGTATAAATGTTATTGCTTGAACAACTTCCTAGTTAGTGGACTGTGAAAAGTGTGTTTAAAATTTATATGTATTGAATGTCAGGAGTATCTGAATAGTATATGTAATGTATGTATGAGCAAGCTGCACTAGATGACTAAATATATGAGAGGGTGAGACGTAAGAACCTAACAACCCTACAGATCCCTAAGCCCTACAGACGTACCCTAACACATAAATAGTGAATATATAAATAAGTACGGGATGTCTGCACCAAGAGACCTAAGGTAACAGACGGAGCCCTACTGGTAGGATCAATGGTTCGAGGTGGTGGGATTATCTCAAAGCTACCGGGCAGGCTCACCACGATAATTAAGGGCTTGAAGTAGTCTTCGCCACTTTGAGAGGAAGCGAGAAATGAACAAGACAGAGCAATATTCAAATCTGATTTATTGAAGTGAAACTTCTTTATCGGGGTTGGAAAAAAATTTAGTGTAACATTTTTGCGTTACGCGTCACATTTTTCCGTTACGCGCCATGTTGCTTTTTGAAGTCAAACTTCTTTATCGGCGTTAAAATATGACATATAGTATGTTTTTGACTTTGAAGTTTGACAACGGATTACATTTTCGAAGTCAAACTTCTTTATCGGCGTTAAAATATGACATATAGTATGTTTTTGACTTTGAAGTTTGACAACGGATTACATTTTCGACTTGAAATTTGCTAATCGCAATTTGCAGCAATTAATTTGTAAATTGTATGCTAGGCAGTGTATCAAAATTTACTGTGTTTAAAGAAATAGTTTCTAATAAAGTCATAAAGAAGTTTCACTTCTTACGTGTGTACACCTAGTACACGCACACATTTGGTGTATCGCGCAACCTCAGCTATTAAAATTTGGAACACATATGAGCCGTGTCAGCAGCTGATCAATATTTAAATAAAATATAATTAAAACTACTATTCAGCTGCTAATATTTAGCACACACCGAATCCATGTCAGCAGTTTGTTGATGTTCAAATGATGAAATCTGAACATTGCTTTTATACAACAGAGAAGGTATGGGGTACATGCATCTATAGCGATAGATCTAAATCAAAATTCTAGATTACACGAAAAAAAAAATCCTTTTTTCGAATCAGCATATCCGACTAATCTGTTAGCAGTGTGCGCGCCCAGCTTCAGCGCAGTTGGCCATCCAACCCCATCCATCCAACTTATTTGTCAAATAACTGATGTTATAAAATTTTTCATACTTATTAATATTCATTAACAGTTCGATTAAGCTATAAAAAAAAACCAGTTTGCGGGGGCTCTTATACTACGGAGCCGATTTTAAAAGTTCTTTGACCATAATATGCTATTGCTACATTATCCCTTAGTATGCTGATTTTTTTCCCAAATTAAAAACATAAACAAACAAACAACAAACAAAAAGTCATTTAATCATTTAGGTACAATTTGTACACTTATGGATGTCAACTCCCCATCTTATAGCGTCACTAGTGCCCACACATTGTCATCGTCTATGAAATCCCGATAAACTTATGTATCGGAAGTTTGGTTACACGGTCCGGAATCTTGTTAAAAATCTGTACACATTTCCCCATAAATGAGTGAGCAGATTTATGAAGTCTGAAAGCTGGAAAATCAAGTCTATTCCTACTTCTTGTGTTTAAACTTTAAATTGTGACAGTCACTGCGCTTTATAATTTTATTAATGTTTTTATAACACGTACATAGTACTTTCATACACATACAACTGTTAAAATATTGATCTCTTTAAAAAATTCTCTTAGCGAGTCACGCGGTTTTAATTTGTATATAGCGCATATTGTTCTTTTTTGTTAAACAAAAATATCTTGAATATCGGCCGCTGAGCCCCACAACAACATACCATATGTCATAACACCATGGAAGTAACTGAAGTATCTTGTATACTCGCCTCGCCGTTTCGACATCAGACAACAATCTAATCTTTCTTATCGCAAAAGCAGCCGAACAAAGTCTTGCCGATAGGTTTGTAATATGGGGCTTCCATTGCAAACGAGAATCTAGAGTGATCCCTAAAAATACAGTTGAATCAACACATTGAATTATTTCCTCATTAATATTAATATTTGTACTGACCTGTTTTACATTAGGCAAAGAAAATTTTATACGTTTTATTAGAATACAAGTTATTATAAGTAGGAACCAACACAACTTGGGAAAGGGCATCATTCACCTCGTCAAAATTAACTGCGTTCCTACTGATTTTAAAAATAAGAGATGTATCATCTGCAAATAATACCGTTTTACATAAGTTCTTTACATAAAATGGCAGGTCATTTATGTAGACAAGAAAGAGCAACGGCCCCAATATCGACCCCTAAGGCACATCAATGGGTGTGCCTTAGCCTCGGACAGGTCACAGAAGACAGCTAAAGCATCCTGTTTATTTTCCCAGGCATCGAATATTTGCTTCATGAGCTCCATACCCGCATCCGTACTACATCTACCCTTAGTTAAACCGAATAGTCTATCATTAAATCTAAAATGTGAAAGCAATTGATTATGAATAATTTTATCAAATATTTTACTTAGAGTCGGTGAAATTGATAAAAAATAAAATAAAAAATAAAAATATGTTTATTATGGAACATAAGATATATGTATCACTTATTCTACGTCATTAAATTTGAAGGCATCCCTACTCATCGGCAAAGAAGACAAAGGGTGTAGGCCGAGAGAAAAAGCCGGCATAAAAAACTCTCGGTACTCTTTTAAAACAGCAAATCATCAAACAACACTTATTTAAAACAAATATCGCAAATTAATTAGAAGTAGCCTGTCTAGCACTAGTCCCAGGCCCTTTTATCAACTAGATAATCGTTGACTTTATAGTAAGCCTTTTTACACAGCTTTTCTTTAATACATTTCTTAAATTTATTGAAAGGCAGTGATAAAAGAGCCTCTGGGATTTTATTAAAGAAGAGTATCCCTTTCCCCAAAAAAGAATTACTAACTTTAGATAGTCTAGTACGGGGAAATTGCAGCCTGCGTTTGTTCCGTGTAATAACATTATATAATAATAATAATAATTTTTATTAATCAGACAAATACAGTCCATTGATTGATTAGTGAGTTAGTAACAATAGTTTCTTAAGATCTATGTTAGAGAATTAGTAAAAATAAGGAAAAAGTAGTTAAATAAAAACTATCAGGTACAAAGCCCTGCGGAGATGTCGGAGCAGTGTCGTAAATAGGGGCACTCCATTCTTTCATATAGGGCGGTAATTCATGGGGTCCGATTTGTCTCCAGACTTAAATAAAGGAATAACTAATAACTATAATTTTACTATATTTCATGAGATTGGGAAAAACCCCATCGTCAATACATTTATTAAAAATTCTCGTTAGATAAGGAGAAATATTTCTAATTATTGGTGCTATTACAGCTACTGATATGCCCCATAGATCTTCTGTTTTCTTCTTATCCAACGGTCCAAATGCCTTTACAATAGAATCCGTGTCAATTTTATGAAAATCGAATGTACTACTACTCTCGCGAGCAAACAAATCGACTCAAGCGCTACCTCTGCATTCAAAGATTGTTTTAAGTGAAAGTATACAACATTTTAATAAAAATTATATGTGATTTGAAAGCTTAAAACTTCAGAGTTTATGAAATGTCATCATTATTAATATCCATATATCCTTTTTTTATTATTGATGTCTGAACTTAAATGGGGGAAAAATATGATTTTGGGTAAAGGAGTTGTGTTCAGAATTGACAAATAAAACACGTATTTTTTTCTTAAAGAGTATAACATTTATTGGTTCACTAATTGGTATTGCCCCCCTAGCCCTAATTACAGCCCGTATTCGGTTCTTCATCGACCTTATTCATTATTTGACGCTGTCTTGAGGAATACCTTCCCACTCCTCTAACAAAGCTGCTTTCAATTCTTGAAAAGGCTCGAATGGGCTGGATTTCTTGCTCGTACCCTTTATTGAGCTCATCCCATAAATGCTCGACGGGATTTATGTCTGGACTGAGCGCAGGCCAGTCCATTGTGCGCAAATCGACTTCTCGAAGAAACTGCTGAGTAACGCGCGCTGTGTGGCATCGAGCATTGTCATGCATTAGGATAAAGTCTTCGTCAACAAATCCTGCGTAGGGCACAACATGTTCCAGGAAAATATTTGTGATGTACCCATCAGCTGTCAGTCCTGCTCTTCGGCCTACTCCAGGCACGAAAACGAGCTGGGTTTTATCCTCCAACGAGATACCAGCCCACATCATGCAAGAACCGCCACCATAGGCAACGATTTCTGCGAATCAGCCTTAGGAAAATCGCTCTCCCGGACGCCTATAGACCCGGCCTCTCCTGTCACTGCCCTGCCGACACATCCTGCACTCGTCAGTCAACAGGATCGACCGCCATTGCCTAATGCTCCAGTTAAGATGCTCTCGAGCAAACTGTAGCCGAGCTTGCCGGTGGCCTGCAGTCAATTTGGGTCCCGTTGCAGGCCTTTTTGGAGTCAGGTCGGCTTCCTTCAGACGTCTTCTTGCTATCCACTCGCTGACAGCTATACCTCGAACACATCTCAGCTCGCCCTGCACGTCGACACCCGTAAGGTGCCGATTTCGCAGGGAGGTTGAGACAATGAAACGGTCGTCTCGTTCAGAAGTACAACGGTGGCGGCTGGTTGTTGGTCTCCGAGTGAATGCTCCAGTCTCTTGTCTATCGTCTGTATACTCGGGATACAGCAGATTGACTCAAGTGAAGCTGGGAAGCGACTACTCACTGAGTCCTTGTTGCAATAAGGCAAAAACTTGAGCGCCTTCTTGAGGTGTGGTATCCATGGTTCCTTGAAAACAATGAATGCAGTTTGCGGAGATGTGTATCGGTTAACTGTTGATAAGCGACTGATAAAGGTTAACGTCGTGGATATTGCTACACACTCCCTCTAGAGGGATGTGTTTTTTCCCGTTCGGGGCTATGCCCGATGGGGTCTAGTCCGGAGTGTCAAATCCGGTGGTTTGGGGCCAAGGAGTATTCTCGAGTTGGCCCTGGTGTCTTAATCGTTGGTTTCGGGCAGCTACGCGGCTCGCGGTCAAGCTCCGCCGGGTGAGACCCCCGGTGGCCCCGGGGGAGGCCCAGCGAGGCGACCAGCGGTCGTAGCCGCGGTTGCTGCCCTGGCGTCTCGTCCGGTGTTTGTGGTATCCGCGGAGAATAGCTCACGCAGATACCTGTACTTGTCAGGTGGCCTGGAGTGCCACGGCGCAATGTCCTTAAGGTGGGGATGTTGAGAGGCGTCCGCTCGATCAAACATCCCCTTGGTGAACCGTGCGACGAACTCGTCGATTGACTCCATCCTTAAGTCTCGCGCTATGGTGGCGTTCCTAACGTAGCGGGGGGCCCCCACTGCACGTCGTAAGTTGATGTTTTGTACGATGCGCAGTCTCTGGCGGTTGCACTCCTTGGTATATGAGTACCACGCCGGTGCCGCATACGTTAGGTGTGGGCGCACGTACAACTTGTACAGCGCGAGCTTGACTCGGAGAAGTATGTTGCCGGTGAGGGGGTAGAGTGCGTTCATCGCACCCTTGGCTCTCCCTACTGCCCTCTTGACGTGGTGCCGCATTGAGAGTCGCCGGTCTATGGTGACCCCTAGATATGTGACCGGCGTCTTCCACGGCACGTCTTGGTCCATGAACCGTAGGGGTGGCGGCAACATACCTTGGCCAAAGGCGATCGCCTGTGTCTTGACTGGATTGGCGGCTAGTCTCCACTTTTCTAGCCACTCTGGCAGGAGGTCCAGAGCGCGTTGGAGCTTCACCGCAGCGTGCTTGGTACTAAGTGAGGTGGCCACGTACGCCGTGTCGTCGGCGTAAAGGGCCAGGGTGCACCCTTTTGGGCACTTAGATTTGTCTATTACATATTTCCAAATAAGGTTTTTGTTAACAATAGTAAGTTGATATATAAATTGTTTTTTTTTTTTTCACTTTTAAATGACTAATGAAAATGTATAATAATAAAGTAACAATTAAAAATAAACTAATTATTTCGTTAAAATGCATATTCTTGATACAGGTCTTTTTAGCGTTCCGCTTCTACATTTGATCGATACTACCCGGGTCACATTGTCGGGACCGATGTGCTTTTTAACTATTCTACCCATAATCCAGTTACCAGGAGGAACATTATCCTCATGTATAACAACTACATCATCAATTTTCGGTTCTAAGTTATTTTTAACATTCCATTTGTACCTATTGTTTAGAATTACAAGATATTCCTTAGACCATCGGTTCCAGAAGTCAGTGACCATTTTTTGTGTTAACCGCCAACGATCGCGACAACTGATGTCTACATAAGCATGACTTTGTCAGCTACATTTAGCACAGGTTCGCCGATCAAAAAATGTCCAGGCGTCAGTGGGAGAGGATCATTAGGGTTGTCACTTAAGACAGTCAGAGGTCGTGAGTTAAGGCAGGCTTCTATTTTAGTCAGCATAGTTGTGAGTTCTTCGTAAGTTAGAGTGGTATCACCGATAACCTTTTTAAGGTGTGTTTTTGTGCTACGTACGCCAGCCTCCCACAAACCTCCAAAATTAGGAGCGTGAGGGGGTATGAAATGCCATGTAGTACGCTCTAATGTTAACATTTCTGCTATTTCACTAGGCACTGAAGATTTGGCACTGTTAAACATTGTCGTTAATTGTTTTTCTGCTCCTACAAAGTTTGTGCCATTGTCACTAGATATCTTGACAGTGGCCTCGTCTTGCTGTAAACTTTCTAAAAGCGGCGATGAATGCCTTCGAAGTCATGTCTGTAACAGCCTCCAAGTGTATAGCGCGTGTGGCCATGCAAATAAACAAGCAAATATACCCTTTAAAGGACTTTGCTCCTCTACCTGGGGAGAATCTGATGTTAATAGGTCCAGCATATTCCACACCGACCGACCAGATGTAGCAGACAAGATATTAGTGCAAACTTTTATTGATGGAATAAGAGATCGTGAAGTCAGGTTGAGTGTGAACCTTGGTCACCACAAGAACCTGAAGGATGCTCTAGCCAATGCGTTGGAGGTGGAGGCGATTCAGAAAGATTCTCGACCTTACCGCATTAGGGCTGTCACGGAAAAAGTAAACTCGTGTCAACGTGGACCAACCTTTTACACGTGTGGGGAAGTGGGGCACATGAGGTTTTCGTGCCCAAAGAAAGACTTCCGAGGTGATGTGAAGGTTAGACGCAGGAATACCCTGGTTATCGACGGAGTAGTCAATGGAACTAAGTGTGACTTAACACTAGACACCGGAGCTTCACGAACCGTAATCAGATACCAACTTCTGAAGTCATTTTATGGAAGCCCTTCTCGAGGAAATGTTCAGCTTGTTACAGCTACAGGTCAGCGTATAGCCGATCGGGGAGAAGGTATCGCAACCTTCAATATTGGTGGAAGATTTTACAGACACAAGGTTGTTCTTGCCGATATAGTAGATGACTGCATAATCGGGCTAGACTTTATGAAGCTGTACAATTGTAAAATAGATCTGGAAAAAGGAATCTTTAAGTGTGGAGAACAGGAAGTCTGCTTAAAAGGCAACTCTTCAAATAGTGGTTTTGACGTCTGTAGAGTTATCAATGTGGACGGACAGGACTGTAATCAACAAGAGTGGAACGCAGTTCGTAAAGTTACTGAGACCTATGAGGAAGCCCTGTCAAGACACCTATCAAAGGAAGAGGAACAATTAAAGAAGTTTTCGGACATTTTATCTGCCCATGAAAGCGAGCTTACAAGAAGTTCAGATGTGTCTCAACGACTATGTAAAAAGGTCAACAAACAGGGTAGAAGGGAGGTTGGCCATGTGAGAACTTTTAGAACAGACACCATTCATTCAGATTGGGGTGGAAAATTTATGCAGATAGCACAGTAAGAAGATTGTGACATTAAACCAATTCTGGAATGGATGAAATCTTCAGCTGTCAAGCCGCAGTGGAGTAAAGTCGCATCTACAAGTACCACTACTAAGAGTTACTGGGCTCAATAGGATAGTTTAGTTCTACATAATGGAGTGTTATATCGCAAATTGAAAAATGCTCAAGGCGATCATTTTCAGATAGTTGTGCCAAGATCCAAGGTTCGCGACATATTGGAAATGTTTCATACTGACTTGTCTAGTGGACATTTAGGAGTAAAGAGGACTCTTATGAAGATTAAAGAAATATTTTATTGGATACACTATCGTGAAGATGTTGAAGACTGGATAAAGAAATGTAAAGATTGTGCAGCTATTAAGGATTCGCAGACTCGGTCTCCATGGGAAAGGATAACGGTGAAAGAAAGTGATGATGCTCGGGACGAGCATGTCTAAGAAGGGGGTAGTGTTACGAAGACGGGTCGACTACAATGTTTCTAGATTTTTCCACTACTTAGAGAACTTTTCAGCAGGCTGAAATGTGATTTCTGACCGTTTCAGGGAAGGGTCAATCACATATTAGAAAATCGTAATTTACAGAATGTTACCCTAGTTTTAAGGAGGCTGAGACATTTTTCAGGCCGTTTCAGAACAAGTGTAGTCGAGTGGTACACTTTTCAGGAAACCAGTTTTCAGGCCTGGTTATACCCCTTTGATGAAGGAATGTTCTAGAACGAATTTTCTAGGTGTGGGACAAGGACGGAATGATGCGAGAGAGAGACGGAAGATCGGAACCTTCTCGAAGCTAGACCGAGCGCTCTAGAACACCGTATGACAAGGACGGAGCAATGTGCGAGAGAGATAGCTAGTACGCACGTTCTAGAATTGTGCGATCGCTATTCAGTAGCGCGCCCCGCCTAGAGATTTCTCGAACATCGTTCAAGACTATTCCCAGGGATATATAAGCGAGCCGAAACGCGACCAGTTAGTTCAGTTTTTAATTGCGATACCAAGCGGTAAACACCGAAGTGAAAAAGTGCGAATATAGTGAAGACAAGTGATAAAGTACTGTGTGAAGTGCGTGTAAAGAGTAATTAGTGACAGTATTTTGTGTGTGTATTTAGTGAATTTTTGTGCGTGATTTCCAGTTTTTTAGTGTTAACAAATTCCTCGTAGATTTAATAGAAAATAAACCCTTGAAGAAATCTACGGCGTTTCTATCCGATCCCCTAGCTCGTAACAGTATGTAAAGTATATTTGTTAGTTTTATTAAATCAATGTATTGTGGCTACGCCACAAGCAAAATATTGAGGCAAGTATTCCTAATAATCCTAAATGTTTTTGGAGTTATAAGAAAGGTGGTCACTCACCGCTTCCCTCTTGCATGAAAATGGACAATGTTACAGCCCAGTCATCACCTGATATTGCTAATCTTTTTTCATATCAATTTTCATCTGTATATACTTGTGATGAATCACTTGTTGGCAGTTCCACTCCAGACGACATTGGCAATGTTGACGGCCTATTGTCCCTTAGCTTTAGAGAAGATGAAATATCTAAGAAAATAAAAGGTCTTGATACTAACAAAGGAGCTGGGCCAGACTCGATTCCTCCTATCTTTGTAAAACGATGTGGATTTGTGTTATCTTTGCCCCTAACTATTATTTATAATAGATCTCTTAAAGATGGTGTTTTTCCTGAAGTATGGAAAAGGTCTCGTGTTGTACCTGTGTATAAAAAGGGAGATATCACCGACGTAAAAAATTACCGTCCTATTTGTATTTTATTTATTTTAACCGGGGTTCCTGTTAAATAAATAATATATATATTACTAAAATAATCTAAGCTAACCTACTAACAAAATCAATATTTTTGGTTACTTTAATATAACAACTACCAATTATTGTAAAACAGGAAATAAAAAGGCTTATTATTATTATTATCATTATTATATGGAATCCACTATATGCGATCCATTCGCAACGCGTTGAAAGCATTCAAAGATCTTTTACGCGACACCTAGCTTTCATAAGCAGATGATTTTCACATAGACACCCGTACCATCAGCGACTTAAAAAATTTAATATGTTATCTCTGTACAATCGGAGAACTCTAGCCGGTGTTACCTTCTTGCATAAATTGCTCAATAACCATATACAGAGCAGTGACCTCTTACAGGATATCAAAATTGTCGTCCCTCACACATTCCTTAGGTTTAAAATAATAACAATATCTTCCAAATTCCTTCTGCCAAAACCAACCTAGGAGTTCAGGCACCTCTATTTCGAATTCTTCGCGATTTTAACGGATTGAACACAGCTTATCCGGAGCTGGATATATTCGGTAGTGGGCTGATCGGTTTTAGAGAAAGCATTGTGGGGTGCCTTTCTCAAACCTAATTCGCTGTTTTGCTGATGATTTTTCTTTTTTTTCTGCTTTAAGTGTCAACAAATTTCTATAATTTTATTATTTTTTGTTGTGTGCTTGTATTATCTTTTATATGTTTTTATTGTATTTTTTAAATTTCTATTTTTTTGTAAAACTTATGTTTACGTTAATTGTCACACATTTTAGATGTAAGATTTTGTAAAATAATTAGTAGATTATGTACTGTGTGTGATAACGTAAGCTAATAACTAAATAAATAACAAAGCGATGAAAGTTATGATCAAAATGTTATAAGCATAACATTACAATTGCTTAGCTAAATTATTATGTTAAGCGAAAATAAGCGGAGCGTAGGTAAAAGCTATAAGCTAAGAAATATATCTCGGATCGTATGGACCAACTTTTAATGGCGGCGCGGGTTGTTAATATATAAACTCTATACCTATTAAACTAAGTAATCAATTGTTTATAATTGTGGACTGTATTTTCTTTATAATAATATGATGGCTCAATATTTGGACAAATGGGAAAAAAGAAAGAAAGGATGTCGGCACAGTGCCTTCAACCTCGTGGCTTCTTCTCGTGGCTAGATTCCTTTCTTTTACACCAATGAACCAAACACTTTCACAAAAGTATAATCAAACAATAATATATTAACAATAAACAGAGAATTTAAATAAAGTTAAAAGTTTTAAAAAAAGCGGTGCGAGCGTGCGGCGTACCAAACGAACCATATCGCGGGTCATCAAATTGTAACTAATTAATTAATCCTTGTCTCCAAATGCAGACTTATCGTCGTGCGCGCCACCTATAGCCCGTTCCGGAACTAGTACCTTCATAGGATTGGGACATAAAATAGGTGGGTGATGAGATATGCGTCTAGGAACTATTAGGATGGGTATATTGAGCAACCATTATTATAAAATAAGAATCCGGCGCAACCATGCACTATCGTACGTCGTAACTCAAAACGTTTTAGACATATAAGAAAGTTTTACTCAGCGGTTTGCCACTTATCTCCTATATTTAGTATCTATTTAGTAGATCTAATTCAATCCTATCCTGATTGTCTGAAATGGTAAACTTCAAGAGAAGTAAGGTAATCGATTGTTGTTCAGTTCGCATTTCAAAGTCGCAAATGATATTAACACGTATATATATATAACATAACTCCTAATGTAGTAAAGATCAAATTGCAAGAATCTATTTCTTTACAGTTACTTAATATTTTTTTCGATAAGGTGAATTTACATCGTAATTTACAAATTGAAATAAATAAATAAAAAATAAAATAAAAATCATTTAATTCAGACCATTAAAAAATCCATATATTGTTAGTAAAGTAATCCTTATAACTATGTTAGTAAAATTAAAATTAAATTTAGCAAGATTATTAAAGACACAAAGAAGAAAATATTTAATTCATATATCTACGTTGATTCGAGGCACCAGGTACACAGGCATGTATATGAACCCAATGTCTCAAAACAGCACATTCGGGTTTACCTATAACCATCAGGATATTGTTAGAACTCGCACGAACCCCACGCATCAGTGAGGCTGTCCGTTTGCGGATGATTGACGAAAAATCATCCACGTGTGCATCTGCAAACATACCTGATGCGCTACAGTACCGCGGGAGCCCCAACAACATCCTGAAAGCATTATTATATTGCACTCGGAGAGCATTGTATGCCTGCCACGTATATCTAACCCACAGGGCACATGTATAAAAGGACTGGCAAAACGCCTTGAACAAGGTTACCTTGACCTGTGCGTTACAACGATAGAACCTGCGGGCCAGCATATTGCAGCGGACAGCTAATGCTCTCCGTTCCCTTTCAATATCTGCATCGTCATTAAGGTGCTCAGTTACAATATGGCCAAGGTATTTGAACTCAGTAACCCTCTTCAGTGGAACGCCTCCGAGTGTTACTGGTGGCACATAAGTCGGTTTTTTCTTTGCTGCCTTAAAGACGAGCAATTCACTTTTTTTAACATTATAGCGGAGCCCATGCGATTCCGCGAACCTCTCACAGATGGACAACAACCGCCGGAGAGCACAGACCGATGGGCTCAACAGCACCATGTCATCTGCGTAACTGATGCTATTCACACAGTGACCATCGATCGAGCAGCCGACACGTGCGCCACCGAGCGCCTCGATCAGCTCATTTATATACAGGTTGAAAAGCGCCGGTGAGGTTAAACCCCCCCTGCCTCACCCCGCATTCCAACCTGTACTCCTCCGACAGTGTGTTTGACCATCTTACCTGATTCGTCTGACGCTCATACCAATGCGAGAACAGGTCCACGTAAGGTCCCGGTACGCCGGTCTGCCTCAACTTACCCCACAACAAGTCGTATCTGACCAGGTCGAAAGCCTTCGAAAGATCAAGGAACACTGCATAAACAGGCGTATTCCTCTCCGTGTAGTATCCTACCACATGCTTCAGCGACAGGATTGCACACTCGGTAGATAACATGGGTCTAAAACCAAACTGAGCATCATTTAATTTAAGATGATTACTCACCTGCCGCTCGAGCACTGCGTCGAGTACCTTAGCAGTTATGGTTGCCAGGGAGATCGGCCGATAGTTGTTACAGTCCGATACGTCACCTAATAAAAATAATTAAATAATAATATTAATTAATATGAACAGTAAAATTTCTTTTTATACAGCTAACATAAAATCTTTATTTGTTTATAACCACAATCTAGCTAACACAAAATTAATTAGAAATTGTATTCCTCAAATTTTTTTGCATAAAAACCAAATATTTTATTTTAAGACCATAATATCGTCTTTATAGTTTTTTTTATGTTCTAAACGTTTCTACGGCAATTTCTGCTCGACAAGTGGTTTTCTCACTCGACAAGTGAGATTTCTGCTCGACAAGTGGTTTGAATCAATTCTACTTAACGTCCTTCAATACTCTAATACCCGTTTTGCAAAAGATTATTGACACATTTTAGCACTAGAAATCGCACCCGCATTACTTTTATTTTGAATAGAAAGAAGCTATTCAAACATAAATTATAGTTTACCAAAATATTCGCCACTTTCGCCGCCAACTTATATTTACATTTTGAATTTAGAATGCATTTGAGCTCAACTTTGCAACATTCCCTCGTGTATATGTTAAAATGTTTCATGTTGAACTTCTCGTTCTGTTTGTCAACACGACGAAACTGTCTGGTTGAAATCTCCCGATAAATTTCTGAGTGTATTTTCATTTAAGGCAAATAAACTTGAAATTATTGTTTCGCGTACCTATCACAAGTACATTTAAACATCAACCTGTTTTGTTTATCTTGGCAAAGTAGAAATTTGTCTTAGGTTTTCCTATATTTTGTATCTTACATAAAAAATATTTCTCTAGGAATAAAGGTTGGCGGGGACCTCCCTTCTACACGAACATTACGCAAAATCGAATAGTTAATGCAATTCAATAGTAACTAAAATAGGACTGCACGTAATTTAAATAATCCCTATTAGGGCATTTATAGTTCATTATATTAGGTCCTTACATATGAAATTGGCGTTTTTCGTACTGGCCACTTTAATCACGATGTTCTCCTCTTTGGTAAGGAATTCCAAATTCAAATTTGTACAGCTATTTACTCATGTATTTGTGCTTCGATGACCGTCATTCATTTGCTTTTTTTCTTCTGTTTTTTTCTGTTTTCGTCACTCATTTTACAAAATGGAAAACTTAAAGTATCGCATTATTTACGAGTACGAGTTCCGCCGTGGCACTAGTGCTGCGGAAACGACTCGAAGGGTGAATGATGTGTATGGCTGTCATGTTGCAAAAGAAAACACAGTTCGTTTTTGGTTCCAACGTTTTCGTTTTGGAAATTTCAACCTGCAGAACAAGCCCCGTGGACGGCCTGAGACCCAAGTTGATAATGAAGTATTGCAAACCATGATGGAAAAGCTAGCGGCTAAACAACCTAGGCTGGTCAATCGCTCCACGCCACTGCTACTTCACGACAACGCTAGACCACATACTGCACAACAGACGGCTACCAAATTAGAAGAGCTTCAATTGGAATGTCTAAGACATCCTCCGTACTCCCCGGACCTTGCTCCAACAGATTACCATTTTTTTCGAAATTTGGACAACTTCTTGCAAGGGAAAAAATTTAACTCTGATGGGGCAGTCCAAATCGCCTTCACAGATTTTATTGATTCCCGTCCGACTGGTTTTTTTAGTAAAGGGATCAATGAACTACATATGAGATGGCAAAAGTGCATACAAAACAATGGTTCATACTTTGTTTAATTAAATATATTATATTTAAAATTATTCGACTTTTTGTTCCTCCCATACAAAACGCCAATTTCATATGTAAGGACCTAATATATGACGGAGAGAGTAGTGACAAAAACGAGGAACCTAAATAATGGTGCAGGAAGATACGCGTAGGATTACGCGTGGAGAAAGGAAGGTCGAGAGTCAGAGGTAGAAACTGACAATAAACGATAGGAATATCATCGCCTAGCGACAGGAAGTACAAATGAGACAGAAGAGGATAGAGACAGGGACCAATTGTTGACAAAGAAACAAACGATAACCTGAACAATGTCTCGAAAACACGACCCGAATTTTAACAGAAACAAGACCTGCTGATAAAATGTTGAAGATAATGACGTCACAGATACTGACGTCATAAATTAGTTTGTAGGCATCAGACATTTAATTTCGACATTAGAGTCTACTTTTTTAAGTATTTTTTTTTTGATTGAAGTCTCGCTGTTAGCCTTAAGGGTTTTTCCCGCGACTAGCGCAAAGGCGTCTCTTGCGAGACTCGGACCCCGGCTTTGGCCGTCGCGGGGTGGTCAAACGGCAGTCATAGGAACGACTGTCAAAGATTTATTTAATACTAGCAGCCCATCCCTGCTTCGCACGGGCTTAATAATATAATAAAAGAAAATACACAATGTTTTGTGTGAGAAAACTCACTGTGTTTCTAAAATAATAACATTCATTGAAAACAAAAAACTAAGATATTATTATTGTTTTTGTGAATATATTTTCTTAATTTTTTTTTGTGTATACATTGTTTTTTATATTTTATTTGTTTTTTTTATATATTATTTTTCACTTTATTTTCTTGTCATTTTTTATTTATGCTATACTAATTGTTAAAAGGCCATAACCGCAAAACAAAAGCCATTTAATTTATTGAGTAAGAGCCTCCCTGTAAACAATATTTGATGCGGTTTTATTTTGTGGCAGAAAAATAAATTGATTTTCAGGGGACCCGCGATAGGCCAACGTATAATTGACCATGAGTAAAATATTTCTTTCGCAGATTGATCCCAACTAATTCGAAGGTTTGACCTTGGGACTTGTTAATTGTTAATGCGAAAGATGTTTATACCGGAAATTGAAGCCGTTTAAAGGGGATTGGTAAATCAGTTAGGATCATCGGTATCCTCGGTATATGAGCTAGTTGACCAGCTGCTGGACCGGTCATAATAGTCGCTACAATTAAATTTTCCTTTAACTCCTTAATGAGCAACCTCGTCCCATTGCACATGCTTGGAGGGCTTAAATTTCTCATTTCAAACCATGATTGGAATTCCAACTTTTAACGTCAATTTGTGTGGTGGTAATCTTCAGGATTACCACGTTCAAGAAATTCAAAAATTCATGTGGATAATGAACTGTATCTTCAATATTAGTAACAGTGTCTATCGACTTGTATTTTTTTATAAGACCGCTGACTTTTTAAATGATAAGATTGTTTATTTCGTTGACAGTATCATTCTTTGGTGACACTATTGCCCTAGAGCACAACCAATGAAAGTCCTTTTTGTGCAAATTCTCGATATCAGGGTATACTGCATCTATTAAATTTTCCAAATTATGGAGTATTTGGCCTAGGGACTCATCCAAAATAATGTCACTATATCCGCTAAAATTTGTAGAAGGGAAAATTCCTTCCCCAAGTTTTAGCAGTTGTTGTGGGAAATCACTGTCACTTCCATGAAGATGAGCTCTCATATTCGTCCTTAATTTTAATGTTTCAATCGAAGTCAATAAGGGAGTCGATTTCAAGCATGCTTTGATGATGTCTGCTCGCGTGTCTCTGTTAATAGCGGGGAGAGTCTGTCGGAAATCTCCAGCAAATACAAAAGTAATCCCGCCCATGACTACATAGGAGTTCCTGAGGTCTTTTAAGGTTCTGTTCACGGCCTCTATATACTCTATGGCTCATCGTGCAGTCGTCCCACTAACTAATGAGGTGTTTTGTAGTAATTTACCTAGAGGCCCGTTTTTGTGGATAGAACATGTAGATTGGTGCTCAAGATTTACAGATAGCGGAAGTTTAAAAGTAGAATGAGCAGTTTTGCCACCTCTAAAGAGAGTTGCAGCAATTCTGGAGGAACCAACTGCTATTGCTATCTTCCCTGATTCTCTGACCATAACAAGTATCAAATTAGCAAGAAACGTCTTTCCTGTTCCGCTTGGCGCATCCAAGAAAAAATTTTTTCGTTTGTCATATTTACGCTGTCAACTATAGTCTCAAAAGCATGTTTTTGATCTGGGACTGATTTTGGTAGGTTTTAATTGACGAAAGCGGTCAAATCATTTGTATCGTAGTGATGTGCCATTGTATCTGCAACATTGTTTTCTGTACGAACTGAAGAAGGTAATTCAAAATCTTTTGTCATTTAATTGCAACAATCTATTTTCTATTTGTATCAAACCTTCGTTATAAATATACTCATTTATCATATGATAACGCGAAGTCTTGATTTTCCTGTCTGATTCTGTGTTTAACATCTTCACGCAAATCATCTTTGAAACTGTCCCACAATTTGAATGGTTCCGATGGCTGACAAAATAAAAGTATGACCACAAACAACTCTCTTAGTTGTATTGGACATTGCAAAATCGAGTATTTTCAGTATTTTCCCAATGGTCATCGTTTTCTAGCAAACCTCTAGCACGGCAAGCAGCTTGATAGGTCTCTTTGAGAACTCCGTCCACAGTTTTCCAGTGCGGGAATGAAGTTGGACCGCGTACGTGATGCAGCAACATCCTAAGATAAAAACACTCAGATTGAGAAGGATGAACACCATAGACTCTTCCTAAAGCAGCATCTTTTTTTATTCCTGGATGGCCAACTACGTTCTCACCACGCTTCCTTCTTGTAAACTTATTATTGGCCCATGTGAAATATTGCGGGATTTCGTGGTATAGCAGTGTCTTTGCGAATTCATCTTCATTACAGAGCTCAAAGAAAGCAAGCAAAGTTGTTTTGCGTGGATTTCGGGCCAATAGTTCAGCCATTGCTGCGATGAAATACACCCTTTGCCCATTTTCTAAGTGGACAACTGTAAGACTGTAGGATGGCGCTCGTGGATCGGGAATTCGAATATTCGCCAAGCAGCTTCAGATGTACTGATGTAACGGCCATTCACGTAGTTTTCCACTTCATTATTTGGGTTATGTAGCTTGATCCGATCCTTTATTTATGTATTTACAAATGTATTTGATGGCTTGAACTGAGTGGCAATACTCTACATTTATGTGAGCGTTAAACGTCCTGCACAAAAGTGGAGAATAAGGGACAATCCAGTTCCACTTTAATTTCAGGCCATTCGGGGTTGCACGTAAAAGTGACTTACAGATCTGGTCTCTATAGTTTCGGACATAAGTCATCGCGTCTTGGGTTTTTTCATGCAGAAAACCTGTAATCATTCGCTATAGACATTTTTTAACCAACATCCGTAAGTACAATAGCCTTTTCCAAATGACTTCGTTTGGCGCCAAAGAAATAAAGAAATTTTATGCCAACTTTTAAAGTAGAGGGACAGGTTTATCATCATATTGGTAGCCTTTTACCACCACAAGGCCAAAATCCACAATACTTGCAGATATATTTCATTTCAGACGCAGATCAGGGGGTCTAGCCAAGATGGCTTAACAGTAGTGTATGTAGAAAGTCGAAAACTAAATTTGTATGAAAATGACAGCTCGTGTCGACAGTCGGTAGCCTAGGCCCTAAAGGCGTGAGTCGGGATACAATAAGCGACGCCATGACAGTGCTACGAAAAGACACACATTAACGCTTACGCTATTCGGTAGCCAACGGCCAATTAATGTTTCGGCAGTGTAGAAAAAACGGCGTTTCTCCGCCATGTTTTAGCGTGATCTCAAAAGCTGCTGTTTGCAATAATTCAGTACAACTATCGCCATCTTTAATGGCTACCGATTTAAAAACATGTCATGTTTTGGACGTTTTAACGAAATGGTTTTAATTTGTTATCTGTCTTTTTTTAACGTTCTCGTGTACCTAATAATTATAATAATTTAAACTAGAGTTAATATTTTTAAGTTAAGAGTTTTAGTTTTTCTGTGAATCAATGCGAGGATAACATAATAGACACAGATAAATATGAAAAAATCAAGAAAATCAACAAATTAGTAGAGGTAAATCCTGTTTATATTGGATATCTTTTATTGATATTTATATTGCATGTAAGTTCATGAAATTGTTCTTTAATTTGAAAAATACATATACCATTTAATATTGCTTATATTATGTAATCACAAAGTAAAATGATTGTACATTTTATTTGTATATTTCAGATGAGAAAGCAGTCACTAATGAACATAATTAGAAGTTCTAAATATATTTTATTGTAATTATAATAGAAGCTAATGATATAATATTGATTTAAATTAATCAAATAAAGCGGATTTATACTTCATGAACTTTGGAAATATAAAATCTAGTGAGCAATACTAAGTAATGGTAAGCAGATATTTTCTTTAATTATTTACTAAGTTAATTTAACCTACTAGAGAAGTTTATCATAATATTGTTAATGAATGAGAAGTTTGAATTCAAGTCCCTTGGGAGTTACTGACATTGTTTGGTTATTAAAACTTTAATTGACAATAAGCAGCAAAGTGACAAATTAAGTAGGTATATTTTTAAGTAAAGAGTTTTAATATTAAAGTTACCTATTGAACAAACCTTGGACCGATCTTACAGTTTAGTTTGTCAGTTTTCTATTTGATCAAAGTACTAACTAAAATATTTTCTTTTCAGAAAAAGAGAAGCTAATAAGACAACTAAAAATATTAAAAAAAAACACAAATTGACAAGTTTTATTAAAGTCTTATCTTTTAATTAATTTAAGTGTTATATTATGTACCTAAAAATGAATTTGATAGTGGGGAATGAAGCATTTTATGAATAATGTAAAAAATAAGACAAGTGGAGTATGAAATAATGGTTGGTTAAGTAACATTACCTCAAGAACAGGAAACAGTAACTGAAACTATGTTCTTCCACATTTAATCTTAATAAGTTCAGCAGTTTGAATGTTAATGAGATATTATTATAAACAAACTGCATTTGTAGATTTTGGGAAGAATTATATCTTTACAATAACTATTATTATTTACAATTGTTGTGTTAAGGAAACAATCGCTATTTTTTTAATCGCCCAGGATCATAGTATTAGTAGGATTCATAGTAACTGTAGGTATCATAGTAATTTTATGAAATCATCACAACATCTAACGTTAGGTTTTATGAATTGAACAATTTTTTGTATATAACAGCACACAAACAAGATATTGACATTGCTGCAAATTAACACTTACATTTATTAGTTAATTATCTACATATATAAATATGAATACATCTACATTAGGTAGTAATGCATTTAATTTGGTGCACCTGTGTGTGTTCAGTAGTAATGTCTGTATTGTTTAATAAGTTGTTACATATGCTTATTTTTCTATGTAGACTGCATTATGTTAAGGAAGATATTTGGTTCCTTATTTTAATAAAAAATAACCATAACTGAATCATTTTTATTTTGCTACCTGTTTGTTTAATATTCCTAACGATTAGTAGGTACGGGTCATTCATATATGCAATATCTGTATATTCTTGTAAAATAAACTAATATTGTGAACCACTTTAATGGCTTTTCCTACTAAAGAAGACATAGGTAAATTACCAAAATTACACTGACAAATACATAACATACAATGTTTATTCATTTCTTACTTAAACAGATTTTGCATTTACATATTAACTAGTAGCAAATCACTGATATACCCAAAAGTTAATTGATATAAATATTAACTTAAAATCAGCATCAAACTTAAATTTATATCTAAGATGTTAGAGCATCAATATGGAATCAAAGGTTGATTAAGGGTTATAATTTCATACCAGACTAAGTTTCTATTTTATAATTTTTATTAATCCCTCTTTTCATTTCATTGAGTACTTGCTGTTTTTCAATTCTCACTTTCTAAAAGTATAAATATATTATAAACAATCAACCTTTATGACTCTAACTTAAACTGAAATTGTTTGTTGGACATAAACAGAGATAATTCCAACTAGTAGCAAATCACTAATAAAATCTACACTTATATATAAATCTGCTTTCAAATTGACATTAAAAATGTTCAAGCACAAACACCAAACCTATTTAAAGCTTAAATCAAACTCTAATTTCAGTGTCCACACTAGTCTACGTTTTTTTTCTATTGTTTTTTAATTCCTTGGACTTTATCAACTTCTAGTCAACATTATTTTCACTCTTTATTTATCAATCCACAGTACTATTTCTATTGTTTCTTCTAAGCGGTAACAAAATATGTTGCTTCTTCATTTTGCAGATTAGTTGTGAGGTCAAATCCTAAAAATATCAAAGTATGAGTACTTACTACTAATTATTATATATCGCGATTATGCAATTTCAAAATATTGTATTTATTTGTAGCCTTAAATTTCTGAGAAAACATGAAACAAACCATAATTAATTTAAACATGCAATTAAAATTCATATATTCACTTTGCACTTTCCGTAAATTCCACTTAAATCGAAAATTGTTCCGACCTTGCTGACATTCTAATGTCCCTTTTGTGCAAATTTACAATAATATTGTAAAGTTTTAACTTTTATTTGTTTATAAAAGTGACATTAGGAATACATTTAATCCAGAGACAATATGACGGAATAAGGTTTCTACGAACAGCAGCTCGCATCTACGCTGTCGACTTTGCGGTAATGTATCGACATGCCTCTTGGCTACGAACGAAGCGTTTTCGACAATACAATTACGCAAAAGCGGTAGTGTATGTAGAATACTTTTCGACACCAATATGGCTAGACCCCCAGCTATCGTTGAGGTCAAACATAGCTCCAACGCTAAAAATCGATTTAATTAACGAACTACAGACCGCACTGAATAGCCACAATGTATATATACAAAGTTTTAAACAAAACTTGTGTAAACTTTAATTTATATTCTTGTTCAAACAATGTAAATAATTATTTTTTGGAATTACTTTAGTAACTATTGTGAATTCAGTCAGTGTAACAATATACAAAATGTTAATGGCCGTCTATTAGACTTGGTTTTGAGCAAAGGTAGGGGAATGTTAAGCGTTGGGGTGTGTGAGGTGGATGAACCTTTAGTACCTGTAGACGATCAGCATCCACCGCTTCTTGTTAGGGATGATGCGGCAAAAACGGATGAGCGTTTGTTACAGTGGAATTTTAAGAAAGCTGATTTTAATGCATTATATTATAAGGTTAGAGAAGTGGATTGGTCTGATGTATACTCGTCTGATTTAAATCTGAGTCTCAATTGCTTCTATTATAAGTTAAACTCTGTATTTGAGAAATGCGTGCCAAAAAATTCCAGGAACCTAGGATACTCAAGGTATTTATATCCAAAATGGTACACAAAGGAGGTAATTAAAAAAATTAAACAAAAAGCCACGCTGCATAAGAGAAACAAGGTCACTAAATCCCCAGAAGATTACAAAGAGTTTAGCTGTTGCAGAGCTGAAGTCAAGAAATTAATTGCATTGGCTCTTGAAAATTATACTAAGGCTGTTGAATCAAATGTGATTGAAGATCCCAAGTCATTCTGGAGATTTATTAATAGTAACAGAGTCAATAGAGAACCATCGGGTATTATTGAGAACGGAGAGGTACTACCGCCGGATAGGAGTGTTAAAGCATTTGCCGAGTATTTTAGCTCTGTTTATGTTACGCAAAAGCCAAAGCTTGACGTCAGCGCAGCTGTTGCCGGAGCGGGTTATTCAAACGGGGCTGCAAGAGTTCACGTTGGGAGCTTACAGTTTATCGATATACAGGAGGCACTTAAGCGACTTAAGCCAAAAAAAGCAGCAGGCCCGGACGGTATACCGCCTTATATCTTGAGAGATTGTGGCGTTGTACTTGCTGAACCACTGCTACACATATATAACCTGTGTCTGAAAGCAGCAACATTTCCCACATGTT